CTGTCCATGGTTGGAGCCCCACGCCCAGGCCTCCAAAGCCAGATAGCCTCAGAGCCCGGAGCCTGCTTTGCCTTATGCTCTCTTTCTCTGCCTCCTCCCCAGCTTTTGTGCCTGTCTTTCTCCGGCCTTCTGCCCTCCCCTGCTCACATTCTCCCAATAACTAACTTAAATGCAAATAAAGGCAAACTAAAAAAATTAAAAAGAGAATGTGTATTAGTCCTACTAGGTCTACAAACTTTTAAGGATGAGATTGATAAACAAATTCTAGAATCTAAAAGTCTAAGACTTTCATCAATACCAACTTCACTAACAATACTGCCAGTTCCATCAGCCTCTACCTGGGAATTCAAAAGATAGAATATACAGCAACGTAACTTGAATGAGGAAAAAAAAACATGACAGAAAAGTTTACTACTATGAGATTTGCATCAAACATTTTTGAGGTAATATTTTGATGCATGTCGGGAGTTGACACATTTTCACTTTACTTACTCTTTCAATTTTTAAAAACATTTCTTTGTTAAAAACCAATGACTTTTACATCATGTCTCGTGTAGAATATTGCAGAGTTCAAGTAATCGGAGTCCCCATGTTATAAGAAGGCATATCTAAGCACTTTCCCTAATGTAGTCAGTTTTCTTTATCTTGCTAAAACCTACAGTATAAACTTGTACTTGTCACTCAACTTCATTACCAAGAAATAAATATTGTAAATCTGAGAACAGTTTCTGAAATGCTCAGCCATGAATTGTATTGGCATCATTAGACAAAAATCTTTCCTGACTCTGCCCAGTAATGCAGTCTGCATTTTATGGGCTCAATGTCTCCATATGGGAAAGATGGAAAATTCAAAGAGAAAAGAAAACACCTAGTCGGTTCAGTTTTCCCCCACTGACTTTCTGTGTGCAACAACTAACGTGGTATCCTGAAATGCCGTTTTTGAGAAAGTTGTTTTTTTTTTTTTATTTTTTAATGTTTACTTATTTTTGAGAGAGAGACAGAGTGCAAACAGGGGAAGGGCACAGAGAGAGGGAGACATGGAATCAGAAGCAGGCTCCGAGCTGTCAGCACAGACCCTGACACGGGGCTCGAATTCACAGACTGCGAGATCATGACCTGAGCCGAAGTCGGACCCTTAACCGACGGAGCTACCCAGGTTCCCCTAAGTTTATGTTTTTTAATGCTTCTTTATTTTGAGAGAGAGAAAAAGAGAACAAGTGGGGGAGGGGCAGAGAGAGAGGGAGGGAGAGACAGAGTCCCAGGCAGGTCCCACACCACATTGTCAGCATGAAGCCTGACACGGGGCTCGATCTCACAAAGTGTGAGATCATGACCTGAGCTGAAATCAAGAGTTGGGCGCTTAACTGACCAGGTGCCCCAATAAAGTTAAGTTTAAAGCAATCTCACTGCATTGTCACCAATGACGTGACTTGCTGCATTAAAACGCATGATGTTCAGCATCCGGGTGAGGAACAGAGCAGCTCGTCTCTCTCAAAGTGAGTGTTCATGCAAGCATTTGAGGGGAACACACAGGGAGGACAGCGTGTGTGCATGTTTCTTCCTAGTCAATTTCAAATAGCTTCCGGCAAGACCACGCATCTCACCATCACGCCTGCACTTACAGATCACATGACTGAAAAGAACATGGTGTCCAGAGCTGGAAAACAGCCTCTGCAGTGCTACTGAGCCAGCTGGAGGAAGGGTCACCCGGAGTAACAATAATTGGAAAAACACAGAAGGCTATTTCACAAGCAAAATGCAGAGTACAAGTCTAGCATGGCTTACTAGAACATAGTTGGCGGGGAGGGGCTGTTTTTGTTAATTAACTTTTGTCTGCATGAACTTGGGAGTACAAAGGGTCTTTAGGAGATTTTTGAGAAGACAGATATGAAGTCAAGCATGTTCTTATTTACATTATACAGCCAGATTCCTGCAGTCTTGATTTTGCATAAGAAATATTAGATAACTTGTAATTTTAGGAAATATTCAATTTAATATTGACGGAAACAAAATCAGCCAATATGAACGATCTGACCCAATTTTCAAGGACTTTACACTTTTATCTAATGGCATCAATTTTCTGGAGCAGGTACATGAATAAATGTATGTGTCTGTGATTTACTTCTTAAAATCTATCAGTTTTGAAAAATTACACATTCAGGCACATGGGGATGCTAACTTTTCGGCAATTTATGTTCCTTTGTATAAAACAGTAGCGTGCATTGCATCAGTGTGGGCATTTTGTGCAATGTATCATCGGGAACCCAACTCCGGACATCATAATGGGAACTTTAAAGGAACCCGAATAGAGATTTCAAAAATAAATTACAGGAGCACTTAGTCTTATGTTGAGAGATGATACTAACTCAGCATTATCTCCACAATGACTGGCACTTCCATTAGAGAACTCACAAGAAAACACTGAAAAACATGTGGTTACGTAGGAGTCAGGAGTCATGGCTTTCTGAACCCCTTGAACTGAACCCCTCTCCCCTTTGACTTGCAGATACATTTTCTTACTACTCTATGCAGTGATCAGCTATATATAAAATTCCCGGAAGAGGCCATGATATTTCAGATATTTCTAATTTTTCATACAAAGTCGTAAAAGCTCAATGACTTCTATGCAAAATAAGAAACTAGGAAGGTAAGAAAGACCACCTTCTTTAAAACCTCCAAGTCCCACAACACAGACCAAGGAAACTAGTCATACAATCAGGTAGTCTAACAAGATCTTCGTCAGCAGATCACGCACAGAAGTTTCAAAAAAGCTAAAACTACTATGTATGAAGAATCATCATCATCATTATAATCATCCACATTTTATACAATTCACATTTTGCATCATAATACCCTAAACTGAAGTGAACCAACACGTTCTCCAGCATTTACAAAGGCAAAGGAAATGGCAGGAAAGAATCTGGGATGCTGGCTTTTAACAGAAAATATACACAGATAATCCTTCCGAAGGAATATTGATTGATAAACTGTGTATCTCAGTCTCATTTTAGGAATGCATATGAAATCAGATGGTAAAATGAAGGAACAGTCAGTGAAATGTGCATTGTGTACAATTAGAGTAGCAACAACCTCGTCAGTTGATTGCCACTCTCTTAAAAAAATTAAATTTGCAAAGAGAGTGGTCTGAACATAATAAATAAGCTTTATACTTACCATTTTATAAAGGCTGCTTATCATATGCTGTTATTAATTTCTTAATTAAATGTAGTAGAAATAAATTCATCTCAAACATCAGGATTTTCCCTTCTAATGTTTATAAACTTCCCAGTGTCACCATACTGACAGCACAAGAGGCCTGAATCATAAAGATATTCTGTCCGTGCAAATCAGAAACACAATACACAGGCCCACTGGGATTCTTTAAACTAATTAAATATGGTGCTTATTTAGTTTTGACAGTCTTTGGGCAACCACTGGAAAGTTTAGATGTTGAGCTGGCTATTAGAGTAACCACCAGACCAAATATAGTAAATTTGATCATTTATTTTTTTAATGTTTATTTATTTATTTTGAGAGAGAGAGAGGGAGAGAGAGAGAGAGAGAGAGGACATGCGCGAGCCCAAGAAGGGGAGGGGCAGAGAGGGGGAGAGAAAATGTCAAGCAGGCACCATGCCATCAGCACAGGACCCGACTCGGGGCTCAGACTCCCTAACAGTGAGATCACGACCTGAGCCGACATCAAGGGTTGGACCCTTAACCAACTGCGCCACCCAGGTGCCTCTGACTCATTTAATTATTAATTGGAACCTAGCTTCAAATGAGAAGATATTTTTACGGGAATGCTAAAAATTATCATGAATGATGCTTTGTAATTATCTGGAGGAGTAAATATCTGGCCAGAGATGCTTCTTCATAGTAAACGGCCATGAAGGTGGTCGTCGGGTCAACAGCGGGCAATGCTCTCCCACCCTAAACTCACCAGAAGTCTTCATTGTGTCCTTACTCCACCCTTCCAGTCTATTTGGCCACTTACTGGGTTCCCACACTTGATTTTTAAAGACATAATAAAATTCAAGCTATACTTAAACTATGATCTTAGAAATACCAAAGGAAGGGAGAAAAATACTCAGTTCCTTAGTAATACCTGCAGACTTTACATTTATAAGGGACATGGTTAATTTAAAATTTTACTTTCTGAATTAATCTCACCAAAAAATGCATCTATCCCTTTACTTTTAGGTAATCTCTACACCCAACATGGGAGCTCAAACTCATGACCCCAAGATCAAGAGTCACACACTCTTCTGACGGAGCTAGCCAGGTGCCCCTAATCTATCCCTTGAAAAGGTAGTAAAATATTTGATTTTTAAGTGTGCTTATTAACTTATTTAATCCACTGAACTAGTATTTGTGCAAAAGATAAAAAGTAATTTAATCAGTGACACTCAAGAAGCAAGAGTGAATGAATGCATCTCCAAAAAAGAAAGCCATTAGCTCCCTTCCCACCGATAGGAAGGGAATCTGTTTTCAACAGGAGCTGTCACCCAGGTACCTGCCAGGCCACGTCCTGGGACGGAACCGTTTCCCCATCACGATCCCATGGCAGCTTCACATCGCACGGATGCCAGGCAGTGGCTTGTTAAGTGTTCTCCAGTGCCTGTGACATTGGCTCATTCACTCGCTTTAGTTACTCATGAGAAGCATACTTGACTAGTCACCCATCCAGAGTGTTCTAAAACTAAAAAGGGATGATAAAATAGGAAATAGTCTAGAGCCTCCAATAATTCCCTTCTGATCTGAACCTCATTTACGATCATTTGCTGGCAACCAACAGGGAAGGGAGATGTCAAAACAAACAAAAGAGATTAATACTAAAGAAGGAGGGAGCTAGCAAAATGATAACATGTTGAACCTGCTTCCTCATTTTCATTAAACTGCGATACAATTACTTTTTGAACCGCAAGAATGAATATTAACGAAGAATAATTATTCTGAGGCAGAATCATGATGGATTAGCAACAAGACGGCATCAGACTCACCATCTCTGCGATTAAGACTTGCAAACCCAGGGCCGTGGCTGCTGGACAGCTCCGAGGAGCTGCTGAAGGACGCTCGAGGCAAGGTGGATGCCAGCGGGGCGTCACAGCTATCTGTGCGGAAAATACCAAGTTCAGGTTAACCCACTGCTCGAGGCTGTTCTGTCTTCTTCTCTCCTTCCCTCTCTTCTTCCCTCCCACCCTCGCTCCTGTCCTTCCTTCTTTTCTTTTTAGTTGACAGGTTAAGAAAATGCGAGACCCTGCAGCAAACAAACATCAGTCTTAGGCAGAAACGTGTCAGTAAATGTACAACCACGGTCTCTTAAAGCAAATAAAAGCCCTGATTGGGAACCTTGGCCATTTTCCGTGGTGTGAAGATTCCCATCGTGGCCACTTCGAAGCTGTCAACGTGACATCATTGATCATGGAATTGGAAAGCGGTTCACACATGTCACGTCATTAGATAGTATTTCCACCATATGCAAATACAAGATAGAGAAACAACATCCAGTGCACAGATAATAAATAGGAAAAGGGCATGAAATTAAGTAATTAAGTTGTGTGTTTGGAAAATTTACCTTTGTTTTTAACATGATTTACTTAATTGTAACTTCCTATCATTTCATCTTTAATGACGGCTGTATTTTAGCAGCTGACTTACAAAATTCATGAGAAGTTAGTGATTGGCTCTTGCTAGCTGCTAAAAGTTGGCTCCAGCCCACTGCCCCTCAATGGGGAACTATTAGAAGAATTTCCTTTAAAATCAAAAAGAAGATTTTAATAGGCATCACCACTTCTGTTGAATGCTTCTCTGAAAGGCCTATCAGTACATAAGAGAACATTTAAAAATTAAAAGCACAGAATTGGGAAAAAACAAAAAAAGGAACTGTCATCACTTCCAGATGATATGATTGTGCAGGTAGAAAATCCAAAAGTAACCGACTAGCTTAATAGCCCGATTTCATTTTAAACTCAATCTAGGGTTAGAAAACAAATTAACCAGATCAAATAATAACAAAACACATAAAGTATCTAGGAATGAATCTTCCAAAACTGAAAAACATTTATGGGGATTATTATAACAACTGTATTGAAAGACATTACATAAAATACAGACTCCAGTCATCGCCAACAGGAAGACAGTATTTTTAAAGGATCAGTCGTCCCCAGGTTGATCTAAAGATTCATGAGAAGTCCAATGAAAAGCCTAGGAGGGCTTTTCAGACACACTGAATCAAGGAACCCTGCCTGACCTGGTTCATAACATGGAATACAAATAGCATTTAAGAAGCCTACAAAGACAAATAGAGAACAAAAAACAAAAACGACACCTTCATTTTCATTAACCTCTAGCTAAAATTCAGCATTTTCTTTAATCGTGAAGACAGGCAAATCACAACGTTTTCAGTAGTGCCCACAAATTTGTTACCATCCTAAGTTACAGACATTTTTATAGCAGTCATTGTTGTCACGGCTATCTAGCAATATTATTTATGATTCTCATTACTTCAAAATAGCAGTATTCAACTCACCACTGGATTTTGTTATTTAATGTGCTAATAACTAAGGAGACTTATTGTATTACAATTTCTAATTTATTGATATCAGCATTTCACTATAATTAGCTTTCTTCCCAATCACATATATATATATATATACACACATCATATATATATATACACACACATCATATATACACACACACACACACACACACACACACACACACACACACACACACACATATATATGGGTGTGCACACTGGAAGCACAAAGCTGTTGAGTTATTACTGGGGCATCATTAATATTTCAGAAAATTCCAGAGGAGGGGGGTTGTCTACAGTTCACAGTCAACCGTGCTAACTTGAGTGTTAGCCTAGAACTTTCTCAGGGGATGCCAGCACAGTGAGCAGACCAGGCCCGCGTTATTCTGCCTGTACGTAAAGAGGTCCCGGGGGCCTCGCCACTACCTTGAAGGTTGAGAGCAAGACAGGATTATTTCCATTAATGCCCGTCTTGGGAAGCCTGCTCTTTTCCCAGCCTTGGCCGCCACACAGATTCCTTCGAGAGTCTTTCCCGATGCTACCCCGTCAGCCCCCTGCATTCACACCACTGTCATCTCACTATTTACAGTCTCCCCTTAAGCTGGAAACCTAATGAGAACTTAGCATAGATTTTGGAGCCAGACTTGGGTGGGGCTGGCATTGGCCAGGCTGCCTACTCTTCCGGTGGCATTCACCCTTTCCTAAGCCTCAGTTTTCTCATCAGTTCAATGGGAATAACTGTGCAGATAGTGCATAATTATACCATGGGGAGTCAACTCTCCCAGCAGTACAGCAAGGAGTCACTTAACTGTCAATGGGGAGTCACACACTAAGAAGACCGCTATGAGCGTTAAAAGTATTTGCTTTTATTATTCTAACTATCATAAAACAAGTCAATGCTTCGTAAGTTCCTTCAAAATATTCTAGAAGGACACTTTCGTGTATATGTGGAAGGCAATGTTCAAAGTTCCAAACCATATTGTCATTTTTTTATTCTTTCCTCAAAGAAGACATAAGAAGCTTGGTCTTTAAAAAAAAACAAAAACAAAGTAATAGCTTTTGTGATGTAATCCTTCCTTTGGAATAACAATTTATAAAATTTATTTTAAAACTGTCTTTATTTAGTCTAACTCAGAGGCTTCTAAAGACGGTGTTCCAATTTACTCCAACAGAGTAAATCTTGAGAATATGTGTGGTCTAAAACAAGGTGGTCACATCCTATGAGGCACCTGGAGAGGAGCGGCTGTGGATTTGGACAGTGTTTTCCAAGCATTCGGTGTGTTTCTCACTGAATTACATCCACGCAAGGTAAAGGCTCAGGAGTCATCCCAAACCCCCAGTAACTGCTGTTTTCAATCTGAAATGTCTCTATTTTCTACTAAGATTCCTGGAGCAAAAAAGTGTCAAGACCCAATTTCATTTTCTTTTTCTGGCATCATGAAAAGACATTCGAATCCCACTAAATGAATGTCATTCTTATGAATAATCTGATGAGTACTACTTCTGTCCAAAAAAATAGAGGATCCCTGAAATGTTTCAAAGCTACAAGAATTATTCACAAATTATGGCTTTTAACAAGTGAAATGGCAAAACAACTTTAAAGAATCACTACTTATCACTTAGGGGGAGAAGCAACTTGAGTACAAATAATGAGCTTATGAAAATTAACATATGAAAATAGACAGAGAATAATACAGTTAAAGAAGCTAAAGTAATTTTATTTCCCTTCATAATAACCACTCATATTCATAAGAAGGATTCTATGCAATAATCTTAATTTTGAAATGCATTCATCCGTCAGTGGTCCAAATGTACTCAAGGTTACGTTCTCAGAGAAGCTTAAGGATTCTAACAGAAAGGCGATGATCCATTGTCATGTGTTTTAGAGGAAAAAAAATAAACACACCACAATTGTTCATGATTTATGTACGACTCAGATCAGAGTGCTAGGGACATCCTTGTGTGCATTCTGATATAACAAATTCATATTTATGGAATGCTCAAACCTGGTCTCAGTAGTTGTCCCTATTACAATGCCATTTTAATCAAAAGCCTATTGTTTGTCTCACCAACAGAACAGCCTTAGACTGAAATTATAAAACAATTATTTCAGCTTCCGTTTTTCAAACTCATATCTTTTTTTTTTTTTTTCCAGATGAAATCTTAGAAATCTGGAACTTCCCGCAACTGGGGAACGTAGCCAATCTGAGTGTGAAGAGTGGGGGAGGGGCAGAGAGAGAGGGAGACACAGAATCCCAAGCAGGCTCCAGGCTCTGAGCTGTCAGCACAGAGCCCGACACAGGGCTCGAACTCACAAGCCTTGAGATCGTGACCTGGAGCCGAAGCCAGATGATCAACCGACTGAGCCTCCCAGGCGCCCAGATGCATTACCTTTTGGACAAGATTAACAATTCCTCAACACAGAAAATTCATGGTTGCTGGCTGCTTGTTTTTCGGACTTGAACATATCATAACGGACTCTAGTCCCTGGAATGGACAAGAGAGTGAGTCACAAAGTCCCCTGGAGCTGGACTTCTGGCTCTACTTGCCCTTCCCAAGTGGGCAGCTTGAATCAAGGCCCAGATGCACACAATGCCACGCCCCTTGGCCACTGGACCAGCAAGAACATTTGGACTCAGTAGAGCCTGGTGATACCTGGGAATCTCTCTCTGTCAAGAGGACTAAGACCTGGAGCCGGTCTGTCACTCCAATATCCACCATTCCTGGTGGCCCATCGAGGCCTCTGAGAACTTTGTGAACATCTAGGGCCACCTTCCTGCCCTTCCCGAGGTATATGCTTACAGAGTCCCAATCCATGCAGATTCCCAATCCATGTCTTCACTACTTTGGACCACAGTACTGAACAAATGTTCTGGGGCATGGGCCCGTTTCCAACCTTCAGAGACATACACCGTGGACAGGAGGTAATGACCCCCCAGAATCTGTAGGACATTCCAAGTTTGTAAGCATGGCATACAGGATGCTCTAGTGACCCCTGAATAATTCTCCACCCCATCTCACCCACCCCTACCCTCACTTGCCCCTGAAAATGTGTGCTGCTGTGTACTCAGACCTGCAACTACCCCATGTGGGTCTCTACTTGGCAATAGCAACTGGGCATTCCATGAGCTTGGACAACTGCACCAGTCTGTGCTGGTTACCTGCATGACCCTCATGGCCCAGCCTGTTAGAAATTCAGGTGGAGAAAAGCAGAGGTGATTTCAGATTTCTCGTCTGCTCCAATAAGTTACACATTCCAATGATAGAATATAGTTGTATCTCTGGGAGAACAAAGTCAGAAAGGGCACATTATTACAAGTTCCTGGCTACTTTATTTAATAATTGCACACCTGTCCATTAGTACAGTCCAAAGTGAAACACTTTTGTTTTTACTTCTAGGCTTCCTCTCTTATCATAACGTATGTCATGAATTATCTCAAAGATTTGGTTTATGTTCACTGTATTGAATCACAGCTGTTGAATGAATACATCGAGATCCAGATGTTGCCCATGAAATTACTCCTCAGCACCGAAGGATTCGCTGTTTATTGTAAATCAA